TGGGGGGGTGGATAGGCGTTGGGGGTGTTAGACTGGGAAGGAAAATGTCTATTCAACATTAAAGTGGAGTTGCTGGGTTGGAAGTCTGGAGGTTCAGGGGAGAGAAATTCAGGCTGGAGATATGAATTCAGGAGTCCTCAGAATATAGATGGTAATCCTCTGGTTTTACCAACAGAATAGTTAAAACCAGGAGTTGAGTCCAACATTTAGATACTGGGAAGATGAGTAATAATCAGAAAAAGAGACTGAGGAGGAGTGCCTCCAGGAAGAGAATTCAAGAGGAGTAAAAAGGGTATACAAGAGGAGAGAGCAAAAAACTCCACACAGTGCTGCGGAAATATCAAACAAGATAGGTTCAAAATAACAGACACTGACTTAGATTACACCAACTGCTTTTTGAGGTGTTAAGAACAAATACTATATTAGCCCAGGTTCACAGAGAGTGGGAGACAATTGCTCTGAGGAGTTATGGGACAAGGAGGGGCACAGGCTAAAGAAAGATGTTGAAGAGAGTTTTACTTGCTCATTTACTCGAGGATGAGGGGTCTTCCAGGATATTTATCTTTATTAGAAACCAGTCAGTAGAGGAAGTCAGTAACACAGGAGGGAGAAGGGGACATTTTCAAGAGAGGTATTCTTGGAGGATAAAGATCTACCCTCAGACAGAAATTGGAATAGAAACTTTCATCTACTGGAACAGGAGAGGTGGTGAAGGACAGGGATAAACACGCAGGTAGCTTAGTATACTTAGGTGGTGGGAACATGTGGAAATTCTCTTCTGAAGTCTTCAATTTCCCAGAAGAATAAGAAGTGAAGTTAGTAGCTGAGAGTGGGAACTATGGGGAGAAGATGCGGAGGTCTGAGGAAAGAAGGTCATCTTGGCGGTAAGCACTGGCAGACTTTTTTTTTGTGAAGAGCCAGAGAGTAAATATTCTAGGCTTTGTGGGCCAAGGGTCTCTGTCAAAACTACCCAACTCTGCAGTTTTTGCCCCAAAGCAGCAAGAAATAATATGCAATTAGATGAGTACAGCTATGGTCCAATGACACTTTATTTACAAAAACAGGCAGTGGGCTGTGGCTTGTCAACTCCTGGCCTAAGAGAAAAGGAAAGTGGGTAAGGGAATTAGAGTAAGATTGTCAGACATTACTAAAAACCCATGTGGTTATATTTTTAGGTCCTTTTATCACCCTCGCCTTCCTCCTTAGGGCATATTTCTGTCAGGATTTTAATGGAGCCCATAAACTGAGACAATGCTAGATATATGGGCTGACCATGAAGACTCTCCTAATCAATATTAAAGAGAGTAAAAGATTTTCAATGATGTTATGTATATCCTCCTTTAGACTACGAAGGCAAGGAAACTGGGGCAATTTCCACTTACAAATGATTAACATTTCATAAGTGTTGTGACACTTAAAGAAATATGTTTCTGTTATCTAGAAAATTCCTTTATGTCAACCACCAAGGATTTCTTCTCTTTCATACCATGTCATCCACACAGTGTTTAATATACCTGTCCTGCTAGAGGAGAGAGGACGCTAATGACCCTCCAAGTCAGGGACTGCCTTTGGGGTTTATTCAGTGGAGTGATGGACAAGCCTGACCTCTCTCTGCTTCCAGGCAGGACCCTCCTGCATAACAGAGGGCGTGTGTGAGGCCCAGGCAGAGGTAGGACACTAGTGAGATACTGTGGCGCTAAAACTGACTCAGCAAACTAACCAGCAGACCTTTTCCCTCTTCTCACCAGCACAAGCTCCAAAGCAACTCTATGGAGCTCCCAGAGGCTTTCCTTCTGTTTGTAGGAGATATATATATATATATTTCAACCGATAATAGCATCATCAATACAAGTCTAGGGTTAAGCAGAGAAACTATAAGAGGTCTTGGTTAATTAATTTATGTTTTTGGTTTCCATGTGAACATGATTTTTTAAGGAATGCTTAACATTTTGCATATCATATTATTGAAATCCTGAATCTAAACTTTTCTGTCAGGAGGAAACATTTTTATTAGAACCAGATACTTGAGTATACAAGTCAAATACGATTTTTAAATGCAAAATGTGTTTTTTTAATGGACTTCAGACAAAAGTAATTACTTTGGATTTACTTTACATTTTATAATTAAAGAAGGACTATTACCATCTTGATTTTCTAGTTTTCACAGTTTCTAGATGCATTTTCACAAGATAATCAATCTTGTAGCACTCCTTACATAACAACTATCAAGAAAGACTTTCAGGGAGAGTTGTGGATGTTTCTTCATTCCTGGGAGAACTCGAAGCCCATGCATCCTAGATGCTTCTAAAGCAGTGCTATTTGGATGTCCCACGCTGAACCAGATGTTCTCTGAGAGTCCCTTTCACAGCTCTATAATTTAGTGATTTAATTTTTTAAAAAACCCATGAATTTATTAATATATTTTGGGAGCTTTATTATGGCAGGAGCAGCAAGACAACTAATAGCCCCTGACTTAGACTTTCACATTCTTGGCCTATTTAATTATAAACAGTTTGCCTAATGCTGCTAGACCAGAAGAAAAAAGATTAATGTATAACACTCAGAAGAGTTATTTAAGAGCCTTATTTCAAGGTCTGTTTGAAAACAAACAAACAAAAACCTCTGTAATGTATGATTAAAGCTATTTATATGATTTTCAACATTTGAGAAATGTTATGAATGTAAATGAAAAGCCTGTTTCCTTAACCAATGGAGCCATAAAAATGCTGGGTCTGTCCCCTCAGTGGTAGAATGAATGAAGTGTGGACAAGATTCCCTTAGGAAAGGCCACAGAGATGACAAATGAGCATCTCACGATGACAAAAGTATAGCTCTACATATGAGAACACTTTCTGCATTATCTACACTTTAAAAATTACTTTTTCTAAAACACCTAGGTAAGACATCGTTCAAAAATTGCCTATCAAGGGAAGGGAAACCAAGAAGAAAGAGTCCATCTGTCATAAAGGCACTATTGCAATAATAGAATACTGTTCAATACAAATTCAGGATGTTTGGATAAATTCTACTGATGCCTACATAAACATTCATTTCATTAAAAATTAAAGTCTGAATAGAAATCCAAAGATTTTTCTTTTGCTATTTTAAGTAGAAAATATAATTGACAGAATAAAAAAACACTGACGGGTTGAAATGGATATTATATTATATTATTCAACAGTGTATATCTAGTGAGAATTCTTTTCCAGAAAACCTCAGAAGACAGTTCATGGTCAAAATAATAATTTTAGGGCAGCAAGTATTCATTTTTTCAAATTTCCTCAGGGAAAGAAAGAAAACTATGAGCTCCCCCTGTTTAGGATAGAAAAATAAATCCCTTGATAATTGGGGAAAGAACTATGAAGCATCCACAGTGAGATATGCATATAATAGAAAATGTGATGGTCAAGGCAGGTTTACTAATCCCCATGGTGTCACTAGTTTGGGCCACAGACACCATGCTGTGGCATCAAGGAGCCTTAGAAGTCATTCAGTGACACCTAGCCCCGCACTGTCCAGGGACGCGCATTTCTCTGGCCCTCCTCCTCTGTGGAGTTGCCTGTGTTCATACACTGTTGGCCTGGAAGGGCCCTGCCTATACAAACATTAGGTGATACTGCATTCGTCCAGAGCACGCTGGGTGCAGGGAAGGAGGCAGGAATCACAGTTACATGGAACTTACATTTGTTATTTCCCTCAAGTACTTTCTTGATCTATTATACTTCGAAAACCATCCCTTCTGATTAAACTCAAAACACAGTATTAAAATTCACATAATTAATAAAGACAATCATTCATTTCACATACTTGGTTCCTTGAACTTTCAGATGGAAGCAAGTTTTATCTTGTTTTGACTTGAGAGAAATGGCAACACAGACTTGTATACATGATTGACCACACTGCTAAGTAAAGCAGCAAAGTTAAAAAGGAATAAAGAAGTAAAATAGGAGAGTGAGCAAACTCTAATAAGTTCCGACATAAAATATTTAATAGAATCACCTGTTTTCTATACAAGCCATAAGTTCTTTCTTTATATTTTTATATTTATTTATTTATTTATTTATGCTTTTGAGTTGGAGTCTCACTCTGTCGCCCAAACTGGAGTGCAGTGGCCGCTCCCAGCCACCGCAGCCTCGCCTGCTGGGCTCCAGCGATCCTTCCGCCTCAGTCTTCCAAGTAGCCGTAATTACAGGCATGCGCTGCCATGCCTGGCTGATTTTGGGATTTATTGTAGAGATGAGGTCTTGCTGCCCAGGCGGGTCTCGAACCCGCGGGCTCAGGCAATCCACTCACCTCACCCAAAGGTGCGGGATTACAGGCTGAGCCACTGAGCCCGGCTTCTTTCTTTATATTTTTTAAAGTTACACTTTGGCTCCTGAAAAATTAACTAGCAACTATTCAGCAAGTAATCTGCATAATTAATTATTATGAACACAATCTGTTCCTGACTGAATGATCAATTCATTGGTTTCGGGACTTTAATCCAATAGATGTATGGGTATGTAACTGTTGCTGAATAAAATCACACACACAAAAAAAGGTTTGTGTATTCTCTTGAGAAATAAAGTTGCATTCAAACAGACTTCTGGTCACAGAATAAGTTCAAGACAAACAAAAAATGACAGCACTTTACTTTTAAAAACACTTGTCCCACTAATAATTTAAGAATGTAAGAAACACTGGAGAAAGTAGTGAGTACACCGAGTTAGGGAATTCCTGAGCAGCTCTGCTTGGAAGCCGGAAGTCTAATTGCAATATGAACTTGTAGACTCCAGCATTTTCAATATTGCCACAGCAAAACCATGTGAAATTATTAAAACATTACAATATGTGTCCAACCTTGACTGAAAAAACGAATGTGATCATTCTGACCAGAATCAACAGATTTGGAACTTACCGGTGAAGTACAATGGGTCAACCAGGCCAAGTAAGAATGTTTAAATGTTCCACTGTTACATACAGGTAACAGGTGTCCAAGGTTCTTATGTCACAATAGTACTTGGAGGTAGGGTATTACCAAAGCATATCCATGCTGTGATTTAGCTATGGGGATGAGTACGAACCTCTGGTAGGTCGGTGCTGCCAGTCTGCTCATTCCCCTCTGCCTTCTTCAGGGCAAGGTCTGCTCTAGGGGCAGCCTCCAGGGTTCTTCACTCATTTTCCTTGCTATCTCTGGGAAGCGGAGTGTGTCCACCTGTTCCTTCCCCATGAATCGAATTATAAATGTAACTAGCAATTTAAGAGCCCCTCTCGACAAATACCTTAATATCAAAGCTAAGCACTTTATTCCCGGTAATATGACTATTTCAACACAAAAGGTAAAACGTGCATCATTTATGAGCACCTATTTCACCAAGTCAGAAGAGTACAGTGAGGGGCTCCCACAAGATTGATCATACCTGAGAATCTGGGATGCCGTCGGCTTCTGTTACGGTTACATGTTTGTCATTGTTTTCTTCATCTTGCTCAAGTGCTTTTAAAAAACAAGAAAAACACTATTCAACAAATGTAGCATCATAAGAAAAATGTTTCAGACAATTTTATTTTGGATAGCAATCTGGCAGGAAAAATAATGTTAGGAAGATTTATAAAATGTAAATACTGGCACAGTTTTTTGTTATTTGAATGAAAAGTTAACTAATAGCACTGGGTACTTTTCACATATCTCATCTTATTGAGTCAATGGCAGTGAGAAAATTTCATCTTAATTCTCCTCTTCACCTAAACCCATGCAGACATCATCCTATCAATACTGTACTTTATCAAAAGGGAAGCTGGGGTATAGATGGAGACTTCTATTTATCTCACGTGAGAGCAGTCATATTTTTTAAAAACACAATTTTTGGCTAGGCTCGGTAGCTCAGTCTATAATCCCAGCACTTTGGGAGGTCAAGGCAAGTGGATTGCCTGAGCCCGTGGGTTCGAGACCAGCCTGAGCAACTTGGCAAGATCTCGTCTCTACAATAAATAATAATAATAATAATAAAACAATAGCCGGGCGTGGTAGCACACGCCTGTAGTTCCGCCTGTTTGGAAGGTTGAGGCAGAAGGATCACCAGAGTCTAGTAGGTCCACACTGGGGTGGCCATGAATGTGCGTGCTACTGCACTCCAGCCTGGGCGACGGAATGAGATGCCAACTCAAAATAAAACAAAACAACAACAAAAACATAGTTTTCACGTTGGCAGTTTAAATGCCCTATAATATTAAAGGAAGCACAGTATTTTGTATCTGGGTTGCTCAGTGCATTGTTACCATAAAACACCAAAACTGTAGAATCTTTTTATTTTTATTTTTTTGATTTGGGGTCTCACTCTGTCACGCAGGTTGGAGTGCAGTGGGACGATCATAGCTCACTATAGCCTCGACCTTCTGGGCTTTGGCGATCTTTCCACCTTAGTCTCCCAAGTAGCTGGGACTACACGTACACACCACCATCCCTGGCTAATTTTTAAAAATTTTTGAAGATACAAGATATTGCTATATTGCCTAGGCTGGTCTCAAACTCCTGGGCTCAAGCAATCTTTCTGCCTCAGCCTCCTAAAGTGCTGGGATTACAGGCATGAGCCACCGTGCCCAGCCTACTGTGGAGTCTTGAGTCCACCTCTCCCTCCCTGAGAATCTGCCCATCCAAACCCTTATTACCCTTACCTCACTGGTACAACATCTCACCCAAGCTTCTGGCTCTAGTCTCTCCATAATCCAATCCTGCTACTAAAATAACCAAGCTAAAAAAATATAAGAAACAAGTGCCAGGCTTTGACCCCTGTACTGCTTATTTTCTTAATTCTGAAGTTCTCCTGCTCCTCACTGAAGGGCTTCCTTGAACACTCTCGAGCTTCCTCCGAATCTTCAAGTCCGCATGGAGATACCTGACACCAAAATGCATTTTACATAACTCTGATCCAAACATCAAAATTAGACTACTTTTCTCTTTATACAACCTGCTCTTTCACTCGAAATAATATTTATTGAGCACCTACTGCGTCTATAAGCAGAAGATAGTACTGGCCTGGGGAAAGCAGAGATCATGACCATTTCAGATTTCAGCCTAAGAACCTGGGTACCTACCAAAGGATTTTAAATTGGGAACTGCATGCTTTGATGTATATTTTTAAAAGTTAGTTGGCTTCTTTGTGCCGAACTTGAGAGAAGCAAGAGGAGAAACAGGGAGGCCAATTTGGTGACCACTGCTGTTGTCTCGCAGAGAGATAACAACGGCCACACCATGGAGGTGGCAATGAACAGGAGAAACGTGGACGACTGCAGGTGTATATTTTACATAAAATGGACACGACTTGCCAATGAATTGAAAGTGGGGGGAGAAAAGGAAGGGAGATGAGGGAGAAGAAGCAGTCAAAGATGGCTCCTAGGTAGCATAAGTTTTTCCTTGTATCCATCACAGCATTTATTTTTTCGCTCTCTCCATCCAAAGCAGGCCAAACATAGCAGCCCAACTGGCAGTGAGGTCCCGCTCTACTTCGGGATTCGGCTTGCATTGTTTTGTGTACTTTTAAATACTGTGCTCTCTGCTCTGTGCTTTTTAAAATATCATTTCATGTACCTTTTGCGGTTGTATGCCTTTCATGCCTACTGTGTGGTGCTCACCACGGGGCCCACCTACAGTGCCGTGCATACAGCAGGACTCTGTAAATGCTGACTGGGACGAACAATTCATGCCCAAGTGGCCAGAATGGCACTACTTGACTATACCTACTTATATAATAAGCGACTTCTTTGGTAACTATTTATGAAAGAAGAAGGGAGGGAAATTCTTCTGTTAAACTCCCTGGATAACGAGGATAACTCCCACCAGCTGAGCACTTAAAGACAAGGTAGGAATAGCTGAAGTGGGTAGATGCCGATCTCCTATTTTCAGGAAAAAAAAAAAGGTCCATTCACTCTTGTTCAAAGGGGGTCCCCTGTTGCTACTGTTGCCCGGTTAGGAGGAAACTTAAGAACAAAGAAAAACACTGGTGTTTTCTCTGAAAAACTTGAGGCGAGAATACAAAGGGAAAAATAAAACATAGAATAACATCCTAAATTCCTCTTGAAAGTGCAGTGGGCTGTAGAAGTCAGGAACTCCAGTTAACTAATTTAGGTAACATAAAAAGTCTTTCCTCACCCTAGAAATGGGAGTCATCTTCTTGGAAGGCAAGCTGATACGTCGATGCAGGAACTTCACATGAAGAGCAGCCATATTTGGCACTGAATTTGTACTTTATTTGACTTTTTGCTCTTCACAGTTTTAATTCTGATAAAAACGAAGCAATTTAAATTTTGGAATATTTTAACCTGCTGAATTCATGTTTTTGTTTTTAAAACAACAACGTTCTAGGGTATAAGCATTTTTTTCCTTATCTTGTTATACCAGGACATGGAACATACAGGACAATGAAGAATAATTTCAGAGGGTTAACACTATTTTTAAGATTCAGGTATAGTTCTTCTTCTTCTTCTTCTTCTTTTTTTGTTTTTGAGTCGGAGTCTCACTCTGTCACCCAGGCTGCAGTGCAGTAGAATGCTCACAGCCACCGCAGCCTCAACCTGCTAGGCTCAGGCGCTCCTTCTGCCTCAGCCTTCAAAGTAGCTGGGACTATAGGCATGTGCCACCATGCCTGGCTAATTTTTTAATCTATTGTAGAGACGAAATCTCGCCAAGTTGCCCAGGCTGGTGTCAAACCCCTGGGATCAGGCAATCCTCTCTCGGCCTCCCAAAGTGATGGGATTACAGGCTTAAGCCACTGTGCCTGGCCAGGCATAATTCTTAATGCTCAGAAATGGAATTAGAGGAGAAATGGATGAGTATAAAAACCAACTTGGAATAAAATGTCAGTCCTGTGTTTGTAGCTTATCGTCAACAACAATGCTACATTCCCTGTCATCTATTTGAAGATCTTAACAGCAGTATACTGAAATTAACAGAGTGAGAATTAGAAAGACAACAAGGTAAGGGACTTGGCAGAGGTAACTCAGCAATCTATCTCAATCTCAAAAGTTATTTTGAATCCAACTTCAACCCCTTGATGGTGAAGAGAAGAATGTTCTCTTGCAACGCATGATTTTCTTGGAAATACTGAAAAATTCTAATTCTAAGGGTGCTTTTTAGCCAGTGGTTCACATATACCACTTGGGAACAAAAACATATTTATCCTAGACTTTCAAGAATATATGATTAGCCCATGAAGTCACATGCATGAAACCTAGAGTTATCTCTAAAGGAGTACTCTATTGATACTTTAATGCATAGGTTAATGACAAGGAATAAATAAGGGGACAATTGCTTGCTTCATGGCAGGCTCATGTGGCAGAAGGAGGAAACAGTTACTTAGATTTGGGGGTTTAATTTTTCTTTTATCTGATCAGAATAAGGATAAGTTGGGGAAATTTTCCTACAAAAATATTGATTCTGGGAGAGTTCCCTCCAGTGAAACTCGTACACTGGAATGACAGCTTCTGGCATGGAGGGAGGCTAGGAGCCTCACTTTCTGCCAACACAAACCATCTCCTTATCTCTCAATACAGGGAGTCTAAAAGCAAGCAAAGGCCTTTGAAAATAATTTTCCATAACAAAAGATACAAGTACAAAATCTAAAGCATAGACTCTGAATAGTGAACATTAGAGCCCACATGAGAACTAGGAATATCTATGGATTAATTAACACTAATTAACATAGAGTACCCAGTTTAAATGTATTGATTTGCAAATTAGCCAAGAGGGATTGTTGACAGCCTCCAAGGATTTTAGGGCTTGTCCTGAAACCACTTTCTTGTTGCCTTGGGTCCAATAACAGATTTTCTCTCCCCAAGACTTGCTAGGATAAGTGTTAAACTCTGCCAGCAACTCTATTATTCATATCACTTAAATGCAAAATGAATTGATGTCCTTTCAAAATGATGCTTCTTTAGTTTCCGCTGATCAATTTTGTAAAGGTAAGAGTCACACTAACAGAAAACATTAAACACACAATGACTGTCATGCACTAGATAACTATAGTTGAGAACATTCTTTAAAAGTCACCCAACCTTTTTTTTTTTAATGTACAAATCAAAAATTTAACTACAAGAGAAGTTCAGCATTTCAAGTCTCAATGTGAAAAATCTAAAAATACAGTTAAGAAAAATAATGTGTTGGTTACTTTACCAATAATTAAGGTTTCGGCAATATATTAATCTTCCACCTATGCAGCCTTTTTATAGAGAGAAAGCTCTTTCATAAAGGGTCTCCTCTGATGTTCAACCTGAAGAGCTGGGCAGATGACATCAGCCCCATTTTATAAATGAGGAAACAGAGACAAGTGAGGTGAAGTACCCTGTCCTAGCCCTCACATATAAAACATATGTATCAGTGGCAGTTCATTTTTGTCTTAGTCAAGGATGGAGCAACACAGTGTTGGTCAAGAAGTACATCAGCAGATCAGCTCCTGTGACTCCTGACCCAAGGCTTTTCATTTCTTTTTCTTTTTAATGAAA